CAAAAAATATGCTGCTGTAACTATCTAGGTAACCTTTAGCGAAACAGTTTTGCCAAACAATGTCATGTAGTCGCTTTTGAGCAACTTTTCCGCTGATAAAACATCTTTTTAGAAGTATTTTCAAGTTCTGCACCATTGACTTGGCGAAAACATCAACCTACACATAAGTCAACTCTCGAACAAGCCTCATGAAATGTATACAAGAACATCACCTTGAAGGTTCATGCTCATGTTTGTACCATCTATTCCGAGACTATGAGACTCAAGAAAGCATTGCAGACGTCGCTTCACAAACTCGAACTTGTTCTCCCTTTCAAAGCATTAAGACGATTCGGATAAGGTACATGTTTCGACTCTTCGTGTACTCATGCACACAGCGTCTTGATTCTCCTGGTTTTGAATTTAATGGAAATTAGTTCAACATTCATTTTTCTTTTCCAAATTCCGTGGAGTTCGGATTGCGCTTCATAGCTTGGTGAAAGAAAATTCTTTTTCATGAAGGCAATGGTGGGTTTTCACAATGCCAAAGCCAAGGATGGGTTAAACAGTCAGTAAACCAATCATCACTAGAGAGCAGGTACCGGCTCTAACCCTAGATTTTGCTGAGGCTCTGCTTATGAGGCAAATTATTTGTTTCTGACTTCTTTTTTCTTCATGAAGAAAGGGAAGAAAAACACTCCGGAAAGCTAACAATGTCACAGTCGATGAACAAGGTTTTGTTCCGGTTCCACTGTGTTAACAATGAGTAGCAAAACTGGTTTTTGAAGTTTTTCTTAGTTCACTGTAAGTCATTTAGCAGTATGCGTTTTAAGGTTGAGAAGAAAAACGCGGAAAAACTTTTCCGGTTGTTGATAACTGTTTGTTATTGAAAGAAAGGGAAAGTTAGTAAAGGCAGTCATTCAATGCATGTTCTCTTGGGGCTGATAAAGTTAAAGGCATGTGGAAATCACAATTGATGAAAGAGACTTTAAAGCTAGCGTATGTAATAAAACTTTATTAAATTTATTTGAAATCTTGTCAATCATGCATGAGCGTTAGCCTTTTGGCAATATTCCAGAAATACGTTGATCTGTTCACATGTGACTTCTGGATAGTAGAGCTGGATGAGAGCACAGTTGCTGCCAGCAAATGAAGACATGTCGGTGATGCCAAATTTTGCGCTAACATTCTCCGTTTCTTGGCACAACTTCAGAAGTTCTTCTTGTGTGTACGTACCCGTTGATTTGTCGTAGATGGGCTAAAAAGGAAAAAATAGCGTCATCCAAATTCGTCAGATTACGTCGCTAATTTTTTACAAGGTTTTTTTGTGCAGGTGTTATCTCCGTATTATCAAAAGTGAGCAAAATGACATATGAGTAAAAAATCTTACATCAAATATGACGACAGTCTGAGTTGTTGTTTGGAGTCCTTCTTCGGTATTTTGCTGCAAAATTTCATTCATTATTGCTTTCGAAGGTATTTTGAAATGATTTTATTTACCAAGCTCAAAGATCGAAGGTCCTGGTACGTATCTTTGATGTGTCGACCCCCTCGCGGCTTTACTTTCACCTTCCGCATCTTTTTCTTCTTTCCCTTTCTCTTCTTCTTTTTTCTTTTCGGCGGACTTGGGACGACGCGTAAATCGTCTTTTGAGTCCGTGGGTGCCTGTAGAATTGAATATATAAAAAAAGATCTTGTTCTGGACCCTATGTAGTTTTTATAAAAGAAAAAGTTTTTTTCAAAAAATCAGAAAAATCTCTAACCTAACCCATTTTTTGCGAAACAAAATTGAAAGCGGCCCTAAAAAAATTTCCTTGCACTGCATTGGGCCAAGACTTTTCTGACTTTTTCTTGACAAGCACTGATGGATT